TTTCAGGAAGAGAGTTCCAAAGCCTCCCAACCCTCAGAAAAAAGTTTTACCTGGGTGACCCTTGATTTTCAAAACAGTGATCAGTAAGACAGTTCCCTCCACTTCCACCCTGTCAAGAACCCTCACATTCTTCTGTTTCAGTTGTCACCTCAAATCCAGCTCCAAAGATTTCACTAATGTCGGTCATAAAGGCCCACATTACTTTTCATGATTCCCTTTCAAATAATAAATGGTAAAAAGCCTTTTGTATTGGCCCGGATATCCCTCACAAACTTCTTCTTGTGTTCCTTTTCACAGTTCTTGCTACTTAGCAACTCTTTACTCTTCTTTACATCTTTCCCATTAAAATAAGTTTGTTGAAACTCCACAAAATAAAAGCAAATTTTCATACCAGAAAAGGTCATTTAAGAAATTGAGATCTATCCAACTTTTAAAAGTATGTCTGAAATAGATCAGACCTTTTTGTTCTGGTGAGTCTAATATGGGTCCATTACACTAATATAGCAAACGTACATTCTTCCATAGTATAGTGAAGTTTCTGACATAACAGGACAAAGCAGTGCCTTCCATTTTTAACTGCGCATGTGCAATTGTTGTACATTTCTGTCCCATTTATACTTAACAATTGTGGGCATTGACAGCTTCGAAAATTATTTCTGCCCTAAATGAAACTTAGTTACACCAGCCAAACCTGACAACTTACAATAAAGCAAAATACTGTGGAACCGGAAATCGGAAACACGCACAGAGAAGACCAGAGGAATTTAGCAGGTTTGGCAGCATCTACGGAGAGAGAAACAGTTCGTGTTTCTAGTGCAAAACAACTCTCCACACCAGACTAAACGTTAACTTTGTTTCTGTATCCACAGATCTGCTGGGTTTCCCCAGCTTTCCCTGTTTGTTTCTATGACTGCTTTGCAGTTCAGTCATTCAGACTGTACATTTGAACATGCAACACATTTAACAACATGCAAGCAAATATTTTACCAAGGGAAGCTGCAGCAATGAAAGACCACAGGAGATCAGAAACAAAAGAGGATATTGAAAACAGACCCGAAACAGGTTTTGACAGACAAGAATGAAGATCTAGAAGAGAACAAACTTTCACAACCTTGGGTGATTCCAAACCAGTGAAAAGTCAATTAAGCACTTTGGAAAGTGACCGTTATTACAGCCGCAACATGACATCCCAACTCCTATACTCAATGCACTGTCCAATAGAGGCAAACATATCAAAAGCCTTCTTCACTAACCTATCTATCTGCGACTCCACTTTCAAGGAACTATGAACCTACACCCCAAGGTCTCTTCGTTCAGCAACACTCTCCAGGACCCTACCACGAAGTGTGTAAGTTGTGCCCTGATTTGCCTTACCAAAATGCAACACCTCACATTTATCCAAATTAAACTCCTCAGCACATCAGCCCATCTGATCAAGGTCACATTGCACTCTGAAATAACCTTCTTCACCGTCCACTAACCACCAATTTTGGTGTCATCTGCAAATTTACTAACTATTCCTCCTATATTCACATCCAAATAATTGATATAAATGGCACAAGGCAGTAGACCTCGCACCGGTTCTTGTGGTACACAACTGGTCACAGGCCTCCAGTCTTAAAAGCAACCTTTCACCACCACCTTATGTCTCCTACCTTCAAGCCAATTTTGTATCCAAATGGCTAGCTCTCTCCAGATTCTATGTGATCTAACCTTGCTAACCAGTCTACCATGTGGAACCTTGTCAAAGTTGTTGAGAAAGACCCATTTTTACATTCCTGCTCATTGTTTTCCCAAGATGAATACTCCACAGACAATCAAAGTGTAACTCACAGAAAAGCATGAATCAACTGGCAGATATAGATCTGAATTTTGATGTCCTTTTACGATGATACTAAGTGCACTCAGAATGATCCTCATCTATTAATGGATTCATATGCCTGGCTCAAGCCAGTCAGATGACCGCAGCAGCCATTTTAGGTCTGTTATTTGTCCTTATTCCACCTACTTTCAGGCTCATGATAGTCTCAGGTATTAAAGTAAAATAATAAAAATTGAATATTTACAGTCCATTTTCACTATACATATGGCTTTCAATGCACTGCTCACAATGCAATCTGCTCTTTGTGGGGAAGACCAAACGCAGCCTGGTTTTCTATATTCAGTCCACAAACAGAACCCTACTCTTCTGATCTCCTTTAGCTTTAATTTTTCACCTTGATCTCATGCCGACCTCTCTGTCCTCAGTTTCCTGCGGTGTTCCAAATTCAACATAAGCTCTAGGAACAGCACCATAAAAACTTTCAATTATGAACTTTACAAACTTCCAGAACAACTTCAACAACTTCCAAGTATAATCTATGTCCTCATTTGTTTCCTCTCACCTTTGCACATACTGGTTTTACTTTTGTTTTCTCTCGTTTTTGAATGACAGCAAATCATCACTCTGCCATGCGCACCTCCTCTCGACACACTACTTGTTTCTTCACTTGCCTCATTATCACTTCATTCAGATGTGGACCACAAACCCTTCTGTCATTTAATCTCTCCTGTTTTACACACCACAGTCCTTGCCTTTTGTTTGCACAATCCCCCAACCACACACAATTCTATTCACTTGCTTAAAGTCTATTTACATTTCCAGTTCTAAGGACCTAAAAGATTAAAATAAAACAAAGAATTGTAGATGGAGATTTGAAACAAAAACAGAAATTGCTGGAGAACTCAGCATGTCTGGCAGCTTCTGTGGGAAGAAAGCAGAGTTAATGCCAAGTCTGGTGATTTTTCAGACTTAAAAGATTAACTGATTCTTTCCTCCTCCAATGCTGCCAAATATACTGATTCAGTTTTTTCCATTTCCTATCTCTTGGTGAAAGATGGTCAACATGCAAAAGCTCTGGATGAAAAGATTAAAAATAATGCAGGAGCACATAAGAAATAGGAGAGGCTATTCAGCCCCTCAGGCCTTCCCCACCAATCAATAAGAACATGGCTGATCTGCCACAGGCCTCAACTCCTTGTTCGTGCCAGATCCTCATAGCCCTCAACTCCTTGCTCATTCAAAAAAGTCTACCTCCTCTTTTACTACTAACCTTATCCCTTAGATTAAGATTTCTGTACTAGTTGTAACACCTTCTCAACATGTACTCCATTAAGCACCCTCAGAATATTGTTTGCTTCAATAAAATCACCCCTCATTTTTTTAAACTCAAGTGAATAAAGACCTAACCTGTTCAGCTGTCCTTGATAAATCAATCCCTTCATCCCAGGAAACACCCCAGAACAACCAGACATCACGTAAAGATCATGTAAAACCCAGACATTAAGTAAACTGACATAGAATCTTTATCACTTATTCAATTTTAAGATGACATAAACTCAAGTTGTACAACTAAATGGCAACTTGGATCCTAACTGGCACTCTTTATATCAAAACAGTTAAATGATAATAGAGATAACAAGGTGTAGAGCTGGATGAACACAGCAAGCCA